ACAATTGGTGATTCCACGTTTGGTCTAAAATCCGGTGACCATTTGGTCACTCTCGTAGTAAAACCAGAAATGTTCCATGATTGTCGATTCCAACATCTCAAATAATCCTCTTCAAGATCAAATCTTATCAAAACATGCTTTTTCCAACAAACCTAAATGAAAAGGACCTTTAAAACCGATTACCTCAAAAGCTTTACGTAAGTTTTCCATGCTTGATCTGCCTTTATAGAAATAACCGATCAATGATCGCTTGTGACGATCGGCCAAGGTTTGGACATCCTTTTCAGAAAAGGTTATTGCCGGCATACCCTTAAATCGCGAGATGGTGGCATTCAGATTGGCCTCGGATCTGTTAGAAACCACATCAGCAAAAGATTTGTGAGTCCAGGGATTCGGCGGATGCTTGATCTGCTCTGCTACCTGGTGGCGGCTGAGCCGTCGTCAGTAGGTCAGGCGTGCTCATCACGTCAGTAGGTTCGGCGGATCATCTGAGAACAACCCACTACTAGCCGAGAGGTCGTTCGTCTATCTCAGTGCTAAGAGCTAAGATAATTGCTATTTCTAGGGAGAATAAGTTGTCAACTCTTACAATGAAATAAATGCTACTAATTATACTACAAAGGGGTAGGTGATATTGGTGATTTGGAGGGCCGTGACTGGCTAGCTTTCCAACCACCAAATCTATTGTATTAAATGCGCTTCCAACCAGTATCTTGGTTTCCGGCCAAGAACTCCAGACTTGCATCCTTTGGATCTTGGACCCTGGGTTCTAGTGAGTGCAAGGGCCTGGTTACGCATGGCTTGTGCAAGTTGTCCGGTCGAAGGTCCTCAAATGTCATCTGGCCCTTGTTGGGCCAAGGCCACTGGGGCTGATCGTCTTGAAGCATCCGACGATCGTCTGCTAGGTGTCTTGATGGACCGTGCCCGAATTGGGCCCTGAAGCTTTATCTGCTAAGGGATAATGGGCCGGCCCACAATCGCCCCATTAACCCAACACAAGTCCCCCACTTCTGATGTTCCGAGCGGGTGTGAGACATAAGGAAGTATGAATGCTTCCTCCGATTTGAGCCCCGTTGATGCCCCTGATGCAACAGTTACTGTTATTAGGCGGTTCCTGATACCCTAGGTGACGGTTACGGCGGAACGGTTCAACTTCCAATGCGAAAGTAATCATTACGCTCCTGTTAACCTCTGTGCGACACGTGTCCTAGGATACGCTCCTCGCCACGTGTCGTGATCTTATTGATCCACTGGGCAGTGTAGTCCCCTATAAATACCAGTTCCCTTGGAGTGATTGGGGTTTACAAATTTTAGGGGTGGGATCTGTCCGGTCCGGGTCGGTTTTTTGCTAAACCCGTAAATTACCCGTAAGGTATCGAGTTATGAAAATTAGGGACCGAAACAAAGCCCACTATATTCGGTCCGAGTCGGGGGTTTTGTAGTCCAGGTTCGGTCCGGGTTCGGGTTGGACCGGTTAAAGCCCGAATGTGAAATCACTCATATTTCTTTGGAAAAATTGATTGTAATAATCTCAACTATTGGCGGTCCACTCATAATAATCCCAATTATCTATTATTTCAGAATAATCCCAACTTTAGGGACCTTCCGCTAATATTGACCTTCCCCATTATGATTGTAAAATTCACTTGTTAGAGCAGCTAATATGCGGTCATGGACCATTATTAGTGGACGGTCCGTATAGTTGGGTTTATACAAAACTAATCAATAGTTGGGATTATTGTTAATCGAGAATTCAAATTCAAAGAAGACAATTATCATAATATTGTTTAAGATGCATAAAAATAAGTAATATAGGTGTTCTAAAAATGTTATGAAAAAAAATTTATGGATAAAAATGTGACTAAAATTACTATAAATATGTTTTCATGGTCATTACGGTAAATAAATTGAACATATTTGTAGTCACTAATAGTTATTAAGTCATTTTTTCATCCATCATGATTATAATCATATATCAGGAATTAATTTATAAATTATATTGGTATATTATATTGATTTTATATTAAAGCTAATTGTTTCGGGTTTTTATCGGTCCGGGTCGGTTTATAAATTTTAGAGCCTGTTAATGAGCCTGAAGTTTCGGGTTCGGTCCGGGTTTTTTTTATTCGGGCCGGTTAAAAAGAAAAAACCCGGACCGATATCATAATTCGGCCCGGGCCCGGGCCGGTTTCCGGGTTTAGGTTCGGTTTTTTCCACTCCTAACAAATTTCGCTCTCCTGCTCCCAAGTGCTCGCAGTTCTGCCGTTTGGACTTCCGGTCATCAGCCTTTTCCTTCTCAAGTCCCTTAAGGTAATTCCCTCCCTCGTTTTCTTCTTTATTCTTTCTTTGGTTCTTCAATGGCGGATCGTATGGAGATAGCCACGGGTTCTAGTTCACCCTCTCAATCTGGTTCAAAATCCCGGTCATCCGGAGAGATGAGCTCTTCTGGCAGCTTCGAGTCCTCGGCCGCAACCAGAGTAATCATTGCGGACTTCGTGAATGAAGGCGCCGCTCCCCATGATAATGTCGGGTACGATATCGTCCAAGAGGATGCTGCTTAGGAAGAGGCCGCTCAGGAAGAGGTCGCCGGACTTCAGCCCGAGGATCAGGATTTGGGGGACGAAGCTATCGATGGGGATGACCTGACGATCTTCGAGCTCGGCATGCCCCAGGATGTCCCACGCCATGTGGTGCCCTTGCAGATGCCCATGGAATTGATTAGTCCTTTTCTGACAAGGCCCTGCAAGAAATGCGGCTATATCTCCCCCCGCCGCTCGTCTACAGCCAGCGAGGGGCCAAACATTCGTTAAAGAGACGCCCGGGAATGCTGATGGTGCATTTGGATTCGATTAAGACTGGACTGCGGTTCCCTCTCCATCAATTTTACCTTGACTTCTTCGTCAATACCATGTCGTCCCTGCATAGTTCATGCTGAATTCCTTCTGGTTCATCTTGGCGTTTATCGCTCGATGCTCAGATAGGGACATAGCGACATGCACTCACCTTATATGGGACATTCTAAAAGTGTCCAAGGGGAATCGCCATGGAATAAGCTACTTGATCTATCGATTGCAAAGAACTCATGGCACAGAGTTCACTTTTCAGGAGAATGACTTCTTTCTACTCAAGATGAACGACATCTATCAAATGTCCATGGCCTACAGGAACCTGTTTATCAAAAAGAATAAAGTCCTCAAAGAAGGATATGAAGTAATAAGACGATTCATGCTGAGACAAGTTTGAGTTCACGCCACTCATGATCTGCAGATGGCCCTCGAGAATAACATTCCTAAGGCAAATCTCACCAAGCCTTTGCTATACGGACCTGAGCTTGAGAAGTATCCACCTTTCTTCATTTTGATGAGACAGTCACGATAGTCTACCTCAACCACAAAGGAAAGAAACGCTTTTTAGAATGAATGAGATTGCCAAGTATTGTGATGGGACACTGAAGATCATAAGAGACAAATTACTTCTGCGAAAATATGATATTGAACGAAGACTTGTTGATGCATCCAAAGCTGAACTGAAGGGGTTCGACAAAACAAAGATAGTGCTAGATGCAATCAATGAGCGAGTCGAAAAGAGAAGAATGCTACATTAATACGAGCACGCACTAGCACTGCAAAAGAACTACTACAAGAGACAAAAATGAATAAGAGCTGACAATGGACATCTGATCACAAAGGGGGAGAATGTTAGAGATATTTTTATATTGTGATCAATGTAATTTTTATAGGCCTCTTGTTGTATTAAATAATGGGTAGAATAGCTTTAATTAGCAAAGTGTGCTAAAAGGGGATATGGGCCTCCTGTTAGAGCTCAACGATTGTGACCTACCCATTCCCAAAGGCTATAAATGTCTTTAGGGAATGGAGTAGGTAAGCCTTCTCTATTATTCCACCTCAACGCAAAGCACATAATACCCAGAGAAGTTTTTACGCTACATTTGAATATCTTTCTGTAAAACTTCTTCTTCATCGGTGGATGGTTTCATTCACCCTCTTTGAGCTTCATTTCCATAGTTTTATAGCATAGAAAAGGGGACCTAACATATGGTCACTAGTTGGAGTTTCCAACAAACTTGCCTGTGCCGCTTCAAACCTATCCCACCACCTATCATTCACTAATACACCGTCCAGTTTTACCTCCACCCAAGCTACTGTCCCCGGTCCTCCTACCTCTTCTCATGTCCATTGATAATTGGATTAAGGAAAGTCTCTTAAGTCCACTCCACACTCCCAAACTGCCTCTCTAAATCCACACATTACCCAAGTCATCCATAGTCTGCGTAATTGGTTCCATGCTTCACATCTCCTGATGTTTCAAGGAAGCCGTAGAAACTAGCCAGCCGCCACACATCTCCGTCATAAGCCATACAGATTATTGTATCAATGAATTGCAAGTTGACCACGACAATAGCAAGCTCTACTTCTTCATTTGATCCCATAACCAGTCCGTTGCTCTGCCCCTCACCATCATGAACGATGAATTTCTAGAATCTCACTTTGTGCCTCGCTTCTTCTCCTCATAATCAGCAAATTTTGGTCTCCATTAGGAATACAACCTATGGTTTGTGAGCACGAACCCAATCTACTAATACCTGGACTGTAGCTAGGTTGGTCAACTCTCTACCGTTCCAATTGATAACACTCATCCTCCGAATGATGGAGACGACAACCGCTAGCCACAAGAAGTTATCCTTCGCCTGAAAAAACAGAAACCCTAGAGCATCCTAGGGAGACGGCCACATATTTTTACTTATACACTACAATACACAAAGAAAGGGAAAAGTAATATGTAATATCATAGAAAGTAGTGATTCCTTTGAAGAGTATCAATCACCCATGAGGTCTTGTTCTCCATTACATACAAAATAAAACGTTCATGAATTAATCACTTTCTTATGAAAACAAAAAACTCTTACATTCTTAAAATCATATTATCTTTTAACTAATTACAGATGGAATAATGAAACTAAATTTTTAAAAATTGTATTTGGTCAGAAGAGTAAGCAAAAAAGGGACATGATCGCGTGAAGGACAACACATTTAATAAAAAAAAACATTCCACTTTCACTCCAGTCTGTTTTCTGTACAAGAGATAATTACTGGTATTCCATTTACAATGACTCAGGTCATAAGGTTCCACGATGAGATGTTACTGAAATTGAAACTCTAGATGTTTTAACCGCTCCTCAGGTCAAGTCAAAAGGTGCTGGGTGAAAAAGCCCACAACTAGTTCTACCAAGGACATGGAAAGGAGAAAGGCACATATAGCTGGATTTTATAAACAAAAAAACTTTTAAGTGATAGTGTGGGCTGACATTGCATTTCTCTACTCGCATATTAGCTGTCGCTCTTCAAGCGGGTAGAATGCCGAGTTACCCTTGTTTTAGATATCCTAGTATCCTGAGAAGAACTAGGTCCTAAATTGTGAATACCAACTTCTTGGCTAGTTCTTGCCTTCTTTCTGGTGGAGCGAGAAACTGGATCTTCCTCTTTTACTTCTACTTTAGCAATAGTAAAAGGCCAGTCTGCGTGACAACGTGGACAAACTTTTTCAACCTGCATATTAAGGCAACGTCACAGTCGTTCATCTAGCCAATGCATCCAAAGGCAGTAACTTCCCAGTTCATTTTGTTCAAGGATATTTTACCGTTCTTTGAGAAAATTTCATTGTAAGACAGTAGTTGTGCATTCGGACATTGCAGTTTACGTTAGGACATGATTCCACCTGATCAAAATAGTCACAAACAGTAAGACTGGTCATTACATTTATTAGTGACATTAAATCTACATGATAGAGCCGTCGAACGGGGGAGAGGATGCGACAAATCACAAAAATGTACACCATTGGAGCATTTATGTATAAGTGATTGTAAAGAGCATCAAATAGTATAGAAAGAAAAGAACTTTGACAGCTCGTTTGGCTTTGGACTTCGCAAGAGGAAGGGTCATAACCGTCATACAAGGAATATGGATCATTTAATCCTTGGGAGAAGATATGTGGGATACATAAAGAAGATAAAGTACATTGCTCAGCTAGTAGGAACAGATTGTTTTGATCAAATACTACATCATTTGGTTAACTTTGAAAGTTAGTAGAGAATAAGTAGCATAACATATTATATTGTGCCTTATAGAAAAACATTGACTACTACCTTCTCCGTAAGCAGAAAATAATACCTAAGGAGTTCTAGTTTTGTTTTTTCCTCTCATAGAAGGAAACAGTATTCTAGGGAAGAACAATTTGTAGCTAACAAAACATATGAAAATCCTATTCCTGGAACAAAGGAATTTAAACCTTTCTGCCCTTAATCAAATGACCAATATGCATTTGCCTTTAATCGAATATATGAAGATAAATATTGAAAAGTAATACATAAATGACAACTGTATACATTTTGAGGGCTGCAGCATTAACAACACTTCGTGAAATGCTCTCAAAGAGTTCACTCATGCGGGATCTGCCACTTCTAGCTCAGAGCTACTCCATAACATTTCGGGTGAAAATAACTCTCTCTATCCGAAAGAAAAGGGTCACCATAGACCAAGGTACAGATTTTTTGTTTCTTTCAAGGTCTAACCATTATATGTCACAAATCATAAGTGATACTTGCACTTTAAACCTGTTTTTTAGATTTTCACTATATCTATGATACTAAACATGTTTTTCAGTCATGATTCACTTTTTGAGACAAAAACACGAAACATGACTCTCTTTGCAGGACACACTAACTTTACAAGTGCAAGTATTTAGGCGTTTATCGCGAGAGAATTAGTTTTTAGCTGAAAATGGAAGGCCCTGCAGATTCTGCAGCAATAACTTCACATCCAATGAGCTTTTCTTGGCTACAGCAATGCTTAATAGAGCTACTGGTATTAGCCACATATTACCATGACAAAATGTTTGCATCAATCGTTTAGTTTGCCAGCAGAAGCAAATATACTAACTTAAAATTGAGACTCGATCATAACCATACTACCATAGATATGTTATTAATAGGTAAATATATGCAGATTTCTAGTACTCATTCATTTTAACAAAGGAGGCACAGGTAAAGTATAAACCTTCACAGCAGCCTCATTGCAAACTTCACAAGAAGGAACCTCATTGCTGCGAAACCAACTCCTGAGATCAAGAAAGGAACGCACCCCTAGTCCAACTTTACCATCAGATGTTAAGCATAGCCAGTTATCCCTCACAAGCTCTTCAATGGTCTTTTCCTTTTGAGACATTGAAAAATTCCTGACTACTGCTGGAATCTGTGTTGCTTCCATTTGTGACTGTGAGCTTGAATCATTAAGTACCTAGAGACCAAATTAACTGTCAACAAGATCCTTTAGGGTCCGTTGGAACCCCTAACACCATGAGAAACAAAAATTCGGAGGACAAGAGGAGTACTTTGGGAGGAAAGAGAGCTTGAGGGAAAACAAATTGGTTAAACTCAATAAATCCATATTAGACATTTTTCAATTCATTTTATTAATATAATTTAATAAAGAAAAAGAAATCTTAATCATGGTTGTTGATGGCGCACAATGGCGCTTGCGCCATGCACCATGACGCGCGCATATGGCCTCTGTGCCATGAAAATAGGCCCTGGCGCAGGATATACACATGGTGTCGCCATTCTGATAGAGAGCGGGCAGAGCATGGGGCGGGACCGAGTTTGGGCCCACTTCTGTGGGCCGGATTAGGGCTATCATTAGAGTTTATTTATTATTATTAAGTTAATGTTATGTTTTACTTTGGGCCTATTATTAGTAGAGTACTTAGTAGAGTTATTATGGGCTTAATTAGGATTTAATTAATTTGGGCTTGATTAGGGTTTCTCTTAGAAGGCTATTTATACCCCTTGTTGGGGTTCATTCTAGCATCTTGAAATAAAATTGGTTTTAGCCTTTTTGCTCTGGGCAACGGTATTTTTTATCGTTGATTATCTGGCAACGGTTTACCCCGTTGATTTTATTTTTCTGTTACACAACAATTGGTCCGACCTGCCGGATCCCGTCCCACCAGGATGATGAGATCTCAGATCGACCGCTTGGCAGAGATGGTCGCCAAGCAAACTCGGATGAATCAAACCCTAGAGGAGCACGGCATGCGTATGGCAGAGATAGCTGCATCCCTGGCAGCGCTTACCAAGGCGTTAATTCCTCCTGTCACGACGGAAACAAGCTTGGACGCGGTTGGCAGCCCCACCGTATCTGTGCACAGCAGCGACAGACAGCCGTACAACGTCACTTCCTCCTTGGTTGCGCTTACAGAGGCTCTTGCGCCGCCAGCGGTGGAGGAGCATGCAACGGCAGTGGCTTCACTTGACGCGGCAGCAGCATCCTCGTTCGGAATTGGACGGTGCAGCACCATTCTCACGATGTTGCCCTCGTTTAACGAAGAAGAACTGATCAGCTGGGTTGATAGGGCTGAGCAACAGTTCGAATTGAACTGTACTCCGCCGGGAAAGAAGGTATCTGATAGACCACTGAAGACTTATTCCCGCAGGAAGAAACTGCTCCTGGGAAGCAGTTGAGATTGTGGCTATTTTTCAGTCATTAGTGGAGGTGGTTATGGGCATAACCTGTAACCCACTACTCTATTGCTTTAAAGTTATTATAAATACTTCCTGTTAGCTACGTACTACATAGTTCAGAATTTATAAGCATTATTATATTGTAAGGAGCCTTGTCTTCTCCATACGGACTAAAACATTTGGAAAATTTATTCAGATTCTGTGAATTTCTCAACCATCCTTCCCTATCCCTCTTTAAACTCGACTGGTCTTATCATTTTGGTATCAGAGCGGTTAGATCCTAATGGTTTCCACCAGGTCGCAGGCGGATCAACACAACCAATCAGCAAATTCCCCTGTTGAACCCAACCTCGATGTGATTCAACAGTTAACTTCGATTGCTTCACGATTGCAAACTCTTGACGCCTTAGCAGCTTATGTGGCGGCTCTCAAATCCCAACGTAGTGACAGCCAGCCTGGAGGGTCGGGCAGAAGCAAGAAGAAAGAAAGTCACGCGGGATTCCATGAGAGAACACGAGTGCCGTGGGGGATATCGCAGATGAAGAGATGCAGCCGGGGTGGCCACAAAACTTCACGCGCAGACCCTATGCGAAGGTGGATTTTCCAAAATTTGATGGTGGCGACCCGCGAGGTTGGATCCTCAAAGCGGAAAAATACTTCCGTTATTATCAGGTGCCGGACAATCAAAAAGTTGAAATCGCTTCCATGTCTTTGGAGGGCGAAGCTCTTGACGTGTTCGCATGGATGAACGGTGAGGAATCCATACTATATTGGGAAGAATTGGTGAAATTATTGCAAGAAAATTTTGGGCCAGCAGAATTCCAGAACCCAGATGAATATTTGTGCAATATCAGACAATCGGGTTCCATCCAAGAATACAGGCAAGAGTTTTCACGAAGGGTGTCCAGGGTCCACGATAGGCCTGAACACTGCCTTCTTGGGGTTTTTATTAACGGCCTGAAAGAAGACCTAAAAGCAGATGTCAGGATTCATAAGCCCAGGACTGTCTATCAGGCCATGAGTCTCGCACTACAGTTTGAATCCAAACTCGACCCAAATAAAGGTCCAAGCAAACCACCTTACCTCTCAAACAACAGGCCAGGTCAACCCACACCTTTGACTCACCATCGTGACACCAAAGCAGCGACACTTTCGCCACAAGGAGGTTATACTACAACAGCCGGCCACAGTGCGACAACTGCCCCGGTAACGGCAAACCGATCTTGGGAATCAGAACGACAACTCCGACGCGACAAGGGGCTCGGTTTTCGGTGTAACGAAAAATTTGGCCCCGGGCATAGATGCAAGACTCCTACTTTTTCTCTCTTGGAGCTCACGGACAGCAGGGAGGAGGTGAAACAGGAAGAAGAGGTTGGCAGTGAACTGAGTGGAGAAGAGAACCTGCACGACATGGCCGAAATATCTTTCCATGCTATTCTTGGAAAGTCGACAGGCGCCACCATGAAACTTCGGGGATCCCTCTTAAACAGGCAAGTCCTAATCCTCATTGATAGTGGTTCTACACATAATTTCATCTCAACATCACTGGTTGAGGAATTGGGGATCAAAGAAGAGGGGGTTTCGACTTTCGGCGTTGAGATCGGGAATGGAGATGTAATCAGGTGCAATAAAATCTGCCGTGATGTTTCGGTTACCTTACCGGGACTGAAGATTACACAAGATTATTTCCCTTTCTCACTCAGAGGAGCGGATGTTGTGTTGGGGATAAAGTGGTTGGCTTCAATGAATACTGTGCAGGCCAATTGAAAGGAGATGTTTATGATTTTCTACCTAAATGGGAAGAGGTACAAACTGCAAGGGATTCCCTCTACCAGCAAACAAGAGGTATCACTCCAAATTGTTACTCTTAATTTTCCTCTTTCCTTTATTTAATTTCTGGGTTCTATCAATTTGGTATCAGAGCCATGGTTGAAACCAGATCTTCACGCAATCCCCCTCCACACGAGAACCCATTTGTCGGCGAAATTGACCCTCTAGTCACCATAGCCGAGCGCCTACGGAATCTGGAGATTATTGCTTATAGAGTCGCTGGTCTGGAATCCAAGTCGGATCAGAATCACAGGCGGGGAAAGAGCAGGTCTCACTGGGAGGCCGACAGTGACAATAACCCAGAATCAGCGGGTCGAAGGTTCCTACCACATACCAAGATTGAATTCCCTAAATTCAGTGGGGGTGACCCCAGGGGATGGATCCTAAAAGCAGAAAAATACTTCAGATATTACAACACCCCGGAAGAGATGAAGGTGGAGGTTGCTACCATGTACCTGGAGGGTGATGCGCTTGACCTATTCTCTTGGGTCAACAGGGAAAGGTCAATACTATACTGGGATGAACTGGTCAAGGCATTGCAGGAAAGTTACGGCCCTCCAGAATATCAAAATCCGGATGAATTCTTGTGTAGCATTCAACAATCCGGGTCTGTGGCAGAATATCGAACGGAATTCATACGTCGTTCAGCACATGTGAAAAACTGGCCAGAACATCATCTCCTAGGTGTGTTCATTAACGGACTGAAAGAGGAGCTCAAAGCTGACACCAGGATCCATCGTCCTCACACTGTGTTTAGGGCCACCAGTCTCGCACTAGAGTATGAGAAGAAATTAGCCCATACTGCTAGGCTTAAGCCCAATTCACCCCTTGTCCAGAATCGTGTCAACTTCAACAGTTCCCAAGTCTCGAACTCACGACAAATAATCACCAACAAACCAGCCAAACCAACCTCCTCAGGCGTCAAGCCCACTTCGCCAGCCATATCTTCTGAGCACCAACGTCGCCGTGAGAAGGGGCTTTGTTTCAGGTGTGGTGATCCTTTCCGCCCTGGACATAGGTGCACAGGCTCGTTCTCCCTGATGGAAATAGCTGAGGAAGACGAAGAAGTGATTCCTCCTCAAAATGATGAAATTGATTCTGACACAAATGCAGCAGAGGCTGAAATTTCATTCAACGCTTTTTTTTAAGAAACGATTTTATTCATCAAAATAAAAACTACAGTGCAAGAAGACAAATAAAGGGAAAAATACATAGAAGAAAATAGAAAAAAAATTAAAAAAAATAAAATAAAAAAATAAAACTAGACCCAAGGGAAATCTTTGGACTGTGATCTAGTCCTCATGTTGTGGCGCCTTTTGTTTTGCTGAGATTTCCTGTAAAGTTTGAGTTGAGTGTTTAGGTTTTCTGTTGGCAAACAGTTCTCTAGGGTGATGAACTTTGCTTTGCAGCAAATCGATCCGTTGAATTCGGAGTTTCCAATTTCTTCTTGGTTTGATAAAGGAGGACGGCGGCTGCTTTCAGTTGCATGTCCTAGAAAATCATCTGAGAAGAAGGAATCATCGGAATAGTCAAAGCTGTCTGAGGCATCAGAGTAAGCCTGAAGATGTGGAATTTGTGGTTATTTCTCAAGGGAGGGGGATTCTTGTTTCTCTCCGAAGGCTCTCTGTACTTCATAGTTAAATATGAGTTTGGAGTTTCATTCAACGCTATATTGGGCAAAGCGTCAGCATCCACCATGAGGTTGCTGGGTTCTCTACAAAACGGGGATGTTTTAATTCTGGTAGATAGCGGTTCTACCCATAATTTTATATCTGAAGCATTGGTGACAGAGTTGAATGATAGAAGCGGAAAATCCTAGCAGACGATATTAACGTCTGTCCCAGCCTTAGGCTCAAACCAAATCATTCTCCATAATCCCCCTTAGTTCACAAGAGCAAACCTCCTTAAATACTCCTTAACCTCATAATAAAATATGGCCATCTAGGC